CGCTGTCATTCGTCTGCTGGAAAAACACAGGAAATGGCGCTCGCCTCGAAATTAGGTGGAAGTGCGCAACATTGGCTTTCCATTTCCAACAGAGCTACTACTCGATCATGTCTTCCCCTGAAGAGCCCTCCAACCCTCCAGCAGCTGCCCCTGCCGAGGATGACTATGATGCTGACTTCGAACAGGAGGAGGCAGTGGTAGAGGAGCCCGGTCCTCAAGGTGAAGCCCGTCTCTACTCCTAGTGAATGATGATCCTATGTCGCAGATGTACCCTCAGCTGTTGAAACAGAAGATTCAAAACCTGCCCTGGACGCAACTGACGAAGTAGGCTGGTCCGATAGTCGTAGTCGTGAGCCGGCTTTCGTAAGGTCGTAGAGGAGCCCTCTCAAAAGGGGGAGGAGGAGGCAGTTGTAGCCGAGCCCGAGAAGACCGCCGTGGCTGAGGAACCACAGGTAGCACGATGTAGCGGATGGGTGGTATGATGTGTTAGGCGTGGGAACTACTACGAGATGACATTCTGAAGGGAGAGGAGCCTTTGGAGGGTCTCATCACTAAGGCTTCCCTAGAGAACCTACAGCATGTACTATTAGAAAGGGCCTTGCCGTCTTTGACCAGCCTCAGGTTTTGGCCTGGTCCGTCCAAGAGGGTCGTGTTGACGTAGTGCAAGCTGCCTTTAAAGATGCTCGGATGAGCCCGGACGCTAATGGTAATGCCGCTGCTGGGAGACGGTGGATGGTTGACTTAGATCCCTCGGGAGATCCGTGGCTCGTGAGTGCCTTACGGCAGAGGCCTTCGGATCAGCCTTTGGTGGAGGCCTTGCTGGCTGCTGGAGCTCCCGCGGCAGTCGGGGCTGAGTAAGATGGAGACCCCGGGTTCTAGCCCCGCACCATGTATTCTTTCATGTAGATATATCGTCAAGTCGGAAAATGCCAGTGCCGTTACCCCGGAGATCTTGGCCCTGCTAGGTTCGTCAATTCCTTGGACCATATCCCAGCTCGCTCTCATGCAGGTGTTGAGTCACAGTCGGGCACTTCTCCCCCGGAAGGGACCGCCACGGCTCCTGCGACTCCTAGGAGGGGCAGTGTCATCGAGGAACCTACTGCGGACCGCGCCATGACCACTCCGAGTAAGAGTCGTCCTGGGTCTTGCTCGGTACCGGGATTGTGAACAGACTCACCAGTAGCTACCCAAGTGTCCCCACGTAATAGGATGATAATGTCAACGGTCTCGGCTACCCGTACGAAGCGCTTCCAAGGGAACGGGGCGTACATTGTGAGCCTTTCCAACTTTGGCACGGCGCCTAAGTGGACACTTGGTGGCCGCAACTTGTACGACCCTGGGGGTTGTTCCTCACTGGATTAGGCTGGACTGCAGTTACTCTCGTTCTCACGACAACCCTGGTCCGGGCACATACAGTCCGCGGGTGGTGATAACCAATCCTAAAATGAAAGTAATTTATCGTTCTCGGCAAGGGTCTGCTGCGATTCATCTTTTAGGACGCTCCCAAGTACGGCTTTGGTAGTAGTAAGAGGTTTAATCGCCGTACGAACGACATGCCGGGCCCAGCTAAGTAGGGCGGCTCCTGGGAGTGGTATGCATCAGCTGAATAGGTACTGTCCCAATGATCCGGTCCTGGCCCCTGGCTTCAGCTATGGTTTTGGCACAAGCAAACGACCTTCGATAGGAGCATCTACCAAAGGTGGGAGGGATGTTGGATGGGAATGTTTACTTTTTTTCTGCAGCGGCTCAGCAGCCTGGCCCCGGCGCCTATAAGGCCCCTGCGGACCCGGGAAGCCGTGGGCCGCAGTACACGTTGAGGGCACGGACCGCGGTGGGTTGGTGTTTGCCGATGCCTTGGTTGTGAATACCTCGTTTCAGAAGGACACTATTGGAGTGTCGAAAACCACCATAAAGAACCCAGGACCAGGCGCTTACTCTCCAACCAGTGTCCTCAAGGGTATGGATTAAGTCGCGCGCCATGAAATTATTGAGACAATGTTCTTCAGAGCATCATGGGTATTCGTTTGGTCACAGCTCTGGCTCTACCACGGGAAAGCGAGCGTTGAAAGTTCCTGGTCCGGGGGCGTAAGATGGCTCGGTGGAGGGTCGGGTTTGAATTGTCATCGTGGTAGATACAGCGTGGATGACCATAGGCAGACTGGGTCGTCATCGCCGGCATTCAGCATGTCGAGCCGTCCTGCGGTAGGGAGGCGACGGGGAACGTGTTTGGAGTGCTTTTGTGATAGGGATGGAATGTTCCTAACAAGTGGAACTCGAGAGTACCGGGTCCTGGCTCGTATAAGAGCAATTTGACTTCATTTGGGTATTAGGCATATCACATGTAGAAATGTTACATGCGTATGAACGAATCACCGTTGTGCGATAACGAACTGAGTCTTTGGTTGGTTACAGTGGGAACTCGGTTCGGGCAGGCATTGAGTTTTTCTGCGGCTTTATGCGACCGTCGAAGGTCAGCGGCCCGTCTTCTGGTCATCTTGCGCGATATTCTCCGCCAGTTGGACGATACGATTGTGTGATGGACGAACATGCTTATGAGGAAAGTCATGGCTTACTCGCCCAAGAGCTAGAGCACCGCGAAGTAGAGTTCATGCTTAGAGTATTTAGACTTGATTTTGTGAGGCTCAGAGTGGTGGTTCGCACGCCTTCATCGATGAGCAGATTGTACATGAACGTCATACGGGTATATCTCGGATTCACGAGCAGGTGAGGACATGTACGAGTCCGCAGATGAGTATATCGCTGTCTAAGGTGCAGCAAGTGTCGGATATGTTCCGCGACTTGGCCGTTATGGTATCGGATCAAGGCCAGCAAATATCAAGTGTTGAGAATAGTGTTGATACTACTGTTAGAGACAGCAAAGGTGAGATGATGAGGTTCTCATTGAACTAGGAGTACTGCTCCCAGAGACTGTTCATGAGCTGGAGAAAGCTGCTCGACTCGGACATAGCATCAGCGATCGGTCTTGGTGTGTAAGTACATATCACTGTCCGATTTAGTGCTGTCTTCTGGAACTGCAACCTTTTAGGTGCTTGTGGTGGCTACGGTGATCCTTGTCACGATAATTGCGGCTCACAGACTGCAGGATTACATAAACACAGGTTTAGGCTCATTGAGATGATGCGTACAAGTGGTAATGAGTATGAGTGGTAATGGCTTGTTCTTTCGCATACACTGGATGCCTCTGGAGTGCTTGATTGATCGGGCGAAGAGTAATAGATATGTAACATGACTGGGTTAAGGCGTACTCATCTGTACGGGCCGTGTTGCGTTGTGGCTGTCTATACAATGCGTGTATTGTTTGAATGTGAGTTTCTCTCGGTTGTGTGGTATGATTCTCGTTTTCGGTCGTTAGAGCAAGAACGCTTAGTCCCCAGCAAATCGATACTTACGCTTCCGGAGCTGGGTGCAGAGACCACATCTCACTTCGTCGATTACTGGGATATTCCTGGGATCATTGTGCGGCACTGGAGAGGCTGGTCTTGCTGGTATCACTGGGCATTCGCTGCTCTTTGTGCCTTACAGTAAGGCCCTTACTACAGCTGGTGTGAATGCTCTCGCCGAGAGCCGACGGCCCCAAACTCAGAACTCACTTCATTCTAACGCTCTTTGCGCCTGTCTCGATATCTGGTATCCATGGATGCCGAGTTGGAATGGTATCGTTCTCTAGCATTTGCATACTGCTCAAGGTGGTAACGGAATGTGTTGAAAATCAGAGACTCAGGTTTCCGAGACTTCTCTATCAAGAACCACCTGAAATACGCCATAGTGATCATCATACCTTCTAGCTGCCAGAATCTAGCAGTTGTCGCAGGTCATCTTCATTGATCTTGAAGAACGCCTAAGACGGAGGTAGTGCACAGAGACTCTGTGACAGAGTGATCCATCCTAAGCGGTACAGTACTCCCGGAGTACCGCCGGTACTCCCTACCTGTGATAGCTCCTTCATGAGATTATTATGATCAGGGCCTGATCATCAGGCTGTGTGGCAGTGTCATCGGAGCTGAAAAATCTCCGCAGCATGTGGAAAACATCGAGGCAAATGAGTAGGGGTGGGAATAATATTCGTCATCATGACGAATATCTGCGTGACGCAGATATTCGTCATGCAGGTAGTCTATGCAGGCTGCACAATCACCGCTGGCGAATGAAAGGAGGATTTGAGTACCTATGTGACATAGCCTAGTCACTATCTGCTGTTTCCTGGTACAACAATTCCATCTACATACAGCGGACGAGGATGCACCATTTTGACGGAATCCAATCGGACCTTGAGGCATTCGTAGATTCTATGGCTGTGACTGTCAGAGTCGGTTCCAGTGAATAGATGAGAAACGACCCCCAAACTCGTTTATGACCGAATACTATTCGGTCATAAACGAGTCAGGGATAGAATGGAGCTATTAGCTCCATTCTATCCCTGAGATCGTATCCCAGCATCGCTCTCGACTCGATCTTTAAGTGGCCTCGTGTGGTCAGCTCTCAAGATACTCCCAGAGAGCCTTGTCATCTCGTGGGCGAGCTCTGTTTGGCGGACAAAGAGACCTTATACATATACACCTATGATATACTCTCCGGACCGGCCCGACTGAGCCGGACTGACTCTTTGCCACAGCGAGACTACTAGTCTCAGACTAGTCATGCGCCAAATCGCAAATAATCCTTTTTCGTCCTACAGGCTTGCTGATCAGAGTCTTCTGTATCGCTTCTCCCAACTTTACACTGATAACGTCCGATGTTGTCACTATTGAACATCGGAATCTCTGGGCTATGATATAGAAAATGCCACTTCTTGATACCACCTCACGAGATGACTATTTCCCGCCAGAAGTTGAGATGCAAGAGTTGAGATTTCCTCACATGGGGAGTAATTTCATGTGAAACGTCAGGAGGATGAAACTAGCAATCGGCATGGTTGCTTGGTAAGTTATCTATCACTTTTCTTACCCACGCTTACTAAGCTCGGCTCGTACTTGGCCATCTCTCTCCCAGCACCTCGTATCGGCAGCACAGTCAGCGGTCGGTTCTGATGTCCATTCCGTATGGACTTACGTGTCCTCACTTTCTCTGAATGCATTATGTTATCGGCTGTGTGGTCTAGTGGTATGATTCTCGCTTTGGGTGCGAGAGGTCCCGAGTTCGATTCTCGGCCCAGCCCCTTTTCCGGTACTATTTCGCATCCTATTTGTCCATTCGCTATGGGCTTATCCGTGAGATTCGTCTACCTATTGGAGCTACTAGTTCTGCTTGCCTGGTGCATTTCTCTTCATCTGACGCTCTAGTTGGTGTCATTCCTTCAGGACTATCTGTTTGTGTAAAATTAGCACCTAAACACTTGTTAAACGGCGTATGTCACTACAACAACATTACCAATTGTCCCTTACATTCGATGTTGTCACATTTGGGTATCTCAAATGCAGAACAAGATTCAAGGGAGGCCGTCATAGGATTAGCTCACGATCATATGAGAGAATAAGAGATTTCGATCGTACGTTTGATTTTCCCGTACACAATCGTGATACTTCAGGGTTTCCTTCGCTAGCGTTTCAATATCTGAGGGTATTTCCCTCTGTTTTAGACATACATCCTTCCTTGGGAAGCCTCTTCTAACAATGAGTATTGAGATCGTGGGAGAGGGGAGTCCCCTCAGGGGACGGGCAGCTAGGTCTTGAGTACGTATTCTTTGTCAGTTCAGTCACTGTTTATTACTAAAGAATGGCAGTGAGGTGCGCCTTTGAGAACTCGAACGAAGTGGGCGTCTTCGCCATGCTCACAAACTCTTACTGTATTGTGGCCTTGGGAGGCAGTGAGAACTTTTACTCGGCTTTCGAAAGCGAGTTGAAGCCTCATATTCCTGTCGTTCACGCCACTATCGGTGGCACGAGAATCCCTGGTCGAGTATGTGTTGGTAATCGACACGGTTTATTGGTGCCGAGCATTACCACTGATAATGAATTACAGCATTTGAGAAATGCGTTGCCCGAGAATGTGAAGGTAGGTATTGTAGTGGTGAATAGTCGTGGGAGATGATCTGGTCAGATTCAACGAGTGGAGGAGCGGTTGTCGGCCCTTGGTAACTGTATAGTATGCAACGACTATGTTGCCTTGGTACATCCTGATCTCGATAGGGAGACAGAGGAGATTATCCAGGACGTACTACAGGTAGTAGTTTTGGGAGTGTTGTCGTTTATAGACTCAAAGTCATGCACTGCAGGTAGAAGTATTCCGTGGTGCTGTAGCTGGTAACGTGTTGGTCGGCACTTACCTCACACTCACCAATCAGGGAGGGTTGGTACATCCGAAGACGACTGTTGAGGAGATGGACGAACTCAGCCAGCTCTTGCAGGTGGATCAGTCCTGTCGTATTGCCTAATATAAAGGTCATCGTAGGTACCGTTGACTGCTGGTACGGTGAATCGGGGGTCTGATTCGGTCGGTGCCGGGATGGTAGCCAACGATTGGGCTGCTTTCTGTGGGATGGACACTACTGCCACTGAAGTAGTACCATCGTCATCATTCGGGCTCATCACGGCGTTGTTATGTTAGGTTGCTGTGATTGAAAGCATCTTCAAACTCCAACAATTCACCAAGGAGGAGCCTGGCAAGGAGGGTGCTAGCATGGCTGATGTTAATAAATCTATCATAGATAACTACGCCTAAGTCACCTTACAATTATCATCAGTGACGTCGTCCTTCCTATTGCCTCTTATTCCCTATCAAACTCTGTATGGTTACTGCCTGTTGTTACGTAATCAGCAGTTTAAGGCAGTTCAGCAGGAGTAAAGTTCTACTTAGAAATCGGTCCTGTTTGGTTGTCATCGTCTGGGCGGGTATTGGCAGTTTTAATACCTGGTTGGTCAATTTCTCTGTGACGCGTCTTCCCATGACCTGACGATTTTCTAGTATTTGAGAGACGAGCGGTATAGGTTTTTTCCTAGGACGAGAGAGGGTCTGTCTCAGCAGTAGTGAGGTCTATCTTATTGCATGAGTTAGTTCCTCAGTTTGCACTGCTTCTTCAACAGTCGTTGCCAACAATTCGTTCAAAGCGTTGAGCGTTACCAATATTGAAGCTAGGTAGCAGGGTAGGACGTGCTCTCTATGTTAATGAAGGTCGGCCTAGTATAGTAGTCCGATTTTTCATGACGCCTTTCCACGACTATTGGTGGTTCAATAGGCGTTGGAAACAGTTTTGCTAGGATACCCTCAGTAGGTATCGTCGTTAGGGAGAAAGACTCAGTAGGAGACCCGACTAGTAAAGAACCCCTCAGAGGAAGGCTTGCCATTGCTGCTCATGGTTTAGCTGGGCATGGTAGTGGAGTCGCCATGCTTCCTACGAAACTGTTGTCAAGTTGAAGGGTGTTGGTGATCCTATCGAAGACGCCTCCGGTTACTGTTTGACTATGGATGAGGACAACGTGTGGTTGCAGCGGCTGAATCAGACTTGGTGATGACATTGAAATATACTTTTAGGGGTGTGGAGTCTAAGGACGACTTACAATAAGAATTATCTAATGCTGATGCCAAAGTTCAGGGATAGGTTGGATGACAAAAGGACGCCAAAAAAACAAGAATATTGATGGCGGTCGTGGCCGAGTCCCGCACTACGTAACGGAGTGCGTTCAGTGATAGCCATCGGGTCCGATGGGAAGTGTGGAACTTTGTGGCGCGAGACACGTCAAGGCGCGGAAATCGGTCGAATAGGAGTTCGTCGCCAGCCTTTCGCCATCAACTCGCCATTGAGTTGGTGGGAACTGGAGGTCTCCCACCAACATCGGCTTGGGATGGAAGTAGTGGAAGTGCCCTGCGGCACGCTGCTGAGCCGAACGATCACCTACGACGATGTTGACTTGAGCAACACAGGGCAAATTCGAGGCTTCATGTCGGTTCCTCTGCACCTAAAAGGTATATGAAGACCTTTCCGTCCCACTCAACCCTCGCAACCAGCGTTAAATCGTAACCTCTGCGGCAAAAACAAAACGACGCACGACCTCTATAAGGTGTTCAGAGCCACGAAGTTCTCCGAATGAGCCAAGTTTAGACTTGTGATGGTACAGCATACCCTGAAGTGTCTTATTAAAAACCTTTTGTGTTTGCCGAACAGTTCACTTGATGAAGTAATTACGTACAACTGCCATCTACCATTACAGCAACACAGACCTTCTTCACTAAATAACGATCTATGTAAACGATTCGTACCATAACGAGATGTTAGAGAACCACCAAACACATTGACAATATTATCAACTCAAGAGGGGATATGTACAGATTACGCAGTATTACTGAAAGGGTGTTTACTGTGTCTTTCGGTTTCCACTAGTAGAAGGCATTGCCTCAAGTGGTTAGTTGAAATTAAACAATCATTATAGACGGTGTATTTTTTGTACACT